ATTCTCATCTTTCGCCTTGTTTGCACGCAGAGATTCAGCGTGAGATCTGAAATGTTTCTCGGTCGCTGTACAATCTGTAACAGCCGGGACTAATTATTCCGAACTTGATCCTAATTCGTCGGATGAAATAATTGCTCACGAAAGGTTTACTCACGAGGCCATCTGCCAACTCCTCTAAGGGTTATTAGGGTTATAATTCTTCAACTCCGTCTTCAACTTCAACACCGTCTTCAACTTCAACTCCGTCTTCAACTTCAACTTCAACATCAACTTCAACATCAACTTCAACATCAACTTCAACATCAACATCAACTTCAACTTCAACATCAACTTCAACATCAACTTCAACTTCAACTTCAACTTCAACTTCGTCTTCAACTTCAACTTCAACTTCAACTTCAACTTCAACTTCGTCTTCAACTTCAACTTCAACTTCAACTTCGTCTTCAACTTCAACTTCGTCTTCGACTTCAACTTCAACTTCAACTTCGTCTTCAACTTCAACTTCAACTTCAACTTCAACTTCGTCTTCAACTTCGACTTCAACTTCAACTTCAACTTCGACTTCAACTTCGACTTCAACTTCGACTTCAACTTCGACTTCAACTTCGACTTCAACTTCGACTTCAACTTCGACTTCAACTTCGACTTCAACTTCGACTTCAACTTCGACTTCAACTTCGACTTCAACTTCGACTTCAACTTCAACTTCAACAGCGACTTCTTTGACTTCGACAGCGACTTCTTTGACTTCGACACACTTCAACTTCAACTTCGACGACTTCGACGACTTCGTCGACTTCGAGGACGACTTCGACGACTTCGACGACGACTCCGACGACTTCGACGACTTCGACGACTTCGACGACGACGTCGACGACTTCGACGACTTCGACGACGACGTCGACGACTTCGACGACTTCGACGACGACGTCGACGACTTCGACGACTTCGACGACGACGTCGACGACTTCGACGACTTCGACGACGACGTCGACGACTTCGACGACTTCGACGACGACGTCGACGACTTCGACGACTTCGACGACGACGTCGACGACTTCGACGACTTCGACGACGACGTCGACGACTTCGACGACTTCGACGACGACGTCGACGACTTCGACGACTTCGACGACGACGTCGACGACTTCGACGACTTCGACGACGACGTCGACGACTTCGACGACTTCGACGACGACGTCGACGACTTCGACGACTTCGACGACGACGTCGACGACTTCGACGACTTCGACGACGACGTCGACGACTTCGACGACTTCGACGACGACGTCGACGACTTCGACGACTTCGACGACGACGTCGACGACTTCGACGACTTCGACGACGACGTCGACGACTTCGACGACTTCGACGACGACGTCGACGACTTCGACGACTTCGACGACGACGTCGACGACTTCGACGACTTCGACGACGACGTCGACGACTTCGACGACTTCGACGACGACGTCGACGACTTCGACGACTTCGACGACGACGTCGACGACTTCGACGACTTCGACGACGACGTCGACGACTTCGACGACTTCGACGACTTCGACGACTTGGGCGACTTCGACGACTTCGACGACTTCGACGACTTCGTCGACTTCGACGACATCGACGACTTCGACTACGACTTCGACGGCTTCGACGACGACTTCGACGACTTCGACGACGACTTCGACGACGACTTCTTCTTCTTCTTCTTCTTCTTCTTCTTCTTCTTCTTCTTCTTCTTCTTCTTCTTCTCGCTACAGCGGAAAGAGTTCGGCTGTAGCTCGCCCAGCTAAGAAGATTATCACGTTACCGATGACTGGCGAGAGTTGACCTTCGTGGAAGACGTAACGATGGTCGGAGCCGAGCGAAAGTTTTCGAGAAAACACGCCGGGACGTTAATCTTTTCACGCGGCTTGGAATGTTAACGACGATGCCTTTAATGGAACTAGGAATTTCCTGCCGCCGGTGTTCGCGGAGGAGAGATGGTTCGGGAGAATTGAAACCGACGAGTTGTACTGATCTTTATTTAACGAGCCGAACAAGCCGCTTCGAGACTTGCGTTGCTTAATTCCTTTGTAAATGACCGCGCTGCCGGCTGTTGATGCTTGATTTAACGTGGCGAGGGATATTAAACGGATAATTTCTTTTTTTGTGGATTATCTGTAAAAACGAGGGAATTGTGTGACGATATTGATGGTTCGTTTAAAATTGAAGTAACGTTGGTGACAGCTAATGAATGCGTGTGTTTGTGGACGGAGAGTTTTGACGAAGAAAAATGACTCGTTTGACGAGAACTCGATTAATTGATTTATACCGTTTTTATTGTCCAATTAGGAACACTGTATAAATTGATTATTGTGCTGGGTTGAAACTTACGAAGGATTCTTTTTTGATTAAGACAGACGTTTACTGTAATGATTCGTGAATTAGAATATTTAATGTCTAATGTAGAGAGCGGGCCACCTAATTATTTTCTGCAGCAATTATGGTACGAGAAGATTTTCGTACACAAATTCTTCCGATGGAAGAAATGAGAAAAAATGAAAGAAAGGTTTCACGTTTGATTGAAAACTGTAGTGTCCAATTCTCTCATACATTTGTTCGTGTATTACACTTGCTTTGTGATTAAATTATCCACTTTCAGTTGCAACAAACATTCTTATCAAGTACCTTTTTGGGACGTTAGATTATTGTAGGAGTTGTATCGTTGTTGCACAACCTAATAGTGTTTAGTCAAAGCACTTTTGTCAGCTATACTCTGAATTCCATTTATGTGGTATTCTGAGGCCTTGGATACCATGGGTTTGAGAAAGCTTTCTACAGCCTTTCCATTTATAACTTCCCGTAAGTTCCCTTTCTATAGCATTCCATAGCTTCACTTTCTATAGCTCTTTATAGCTTCTTGAACGGGATGTACGGTAATATCGTGATCCAAGCTTCGATATTGCTGCTTCTAAGTCCCAACGTACGATATCGGACGATGTGCTCCATTGTGAACGAAAAAATACGTAATTATACGATTCTCTTGGTTAGATATTTATTACATCCATCGATACTCGCAATGATAATCGATTTTTTAAATATTGATGCAGTTGCGTGCAAGAATATAATTTTTTTAAATTGAAAGTAAATAATGGAAGTTAGTAAGTTAGGTGGAAAAGAGAGAATGTAACTTATTCTGGAAAGGAAAATGATAGTAATCTGTTAGAATTTTGCACGTACGTTCGATTTTTCTTGCACCAAAATTCTGTTACGAAGAAAGTTAGCACTTCTTTAATTTTCTAATCTATTTAACCCTCGCGAGGCGAATGGTTTTACAGACGAATGCGGGGTCATTTTAACCCATAGCAGAATTTCTATTTTGCACGGGTTACAAGAAGAAATTAAGTACAAATGTGTATACTTTTATATTTTTTATATTTTTCTTGTTTATTTACATTTGACACGTAAAATCGGTGTATTTTCTAATCCGAGCCGCCTGACATTATCGCTGTTGAGTCAAAATGACCCCGCACTCGCCGTTCGAGCATTAACACGTTTACTGCCAAGCCTATTTTGAAGAAATCTGTTCTAGACGCCAACATTTTTTTTTTTCAATTTATCGTATAGAATTAAACAAACACATTAATTTTTATATTACGACTTTAATTTTAATTGCTTTTTTGCAAAAAGATGCTTTCGAATTATCTCGTGGTCGGGCGTCTCCGAATAGGATGTAACTTCTACCAGCAAACTTGTCAACGTTAAACAAGACGTTACAATCACAGGCAAACATTTTCAAAAATTGTCACGGCGCAACCTTAAAAAAGAAAATTTCCAAAAATACAGTTCGACATAAATTAATCGTAACTGGTATTCCATTCGAACTTCCCAATCCTCTCTCACACGTCCACAAATTTCCCAGACTACACGAAGATAAGTATTTAATACATTAAAATCCAATGAAACTTTAAAGACCGCCGCGTCTCAACATTCCCCGGAATCGAAACCACCCAAAGTTCACTTTCGCGAAGATACATAAATCTCGCCAGCTTTCCCCCCGCCGACTTCTTCCGAGGAATTAGAAAAAGCGAACGCTCCTCACTTCCATCGTACCAATTAACCATTAACATCCCCGGGAAAGACAAATTTCGCGATCGCCCCCAAATTGTTGCGGCGTGCTCTTTTGTTTGAACGAGATATTGCTCTTGTCATATTTATCGAGCTTTCGAGACCAACGAGGTATAAGATTGAATTGCAAGTTTTCGAGTAACTACTTTAATTCAGCAGCGGCTCAGGAGCCGACCGTGCCCCGGGATGGTTTGCTTCCAATTTCTCGCAGCGGCAACATTTCCCCGGTGCAATTACAGGCCGCAGTTTTACGTGTGTGCGCAAAACCGTGGAGCCCTTGGGGTGCTTATTAATTATTTTCCCCGTTTCCTTACCTGTCCCCAATCGTTCTGTCCCTTCCGCAGTGCCGAAATTCATCCGTTCGCTCGCGATTCCAGGGCCTCGATTTACCAACAACGCCCCGGAAACACTTTACACCTGAGCACACCGGCTATATTTTACTCTTCGCCACTGATACTTATTTATCCCTGACCTATTTCGCCGCGTGCTCTTTAGAACAGTGCGCCCGCGACATCGATAATGTCCTCTACCGGAGCCGTGCAGCGCATCGTAGACCGGCTGGGAGAGGGATCGTGGTCGATCTCAGAAACGTTCGTAAATTTAATGGACCGTATTATACTACCCGTGATCCCAGGTAAACCGTGAAATTCTTAACGGGGACGTGTAACGAGGTTGAAACTTGACTATTCCCGCCGCTCGATACGCGCCGAATTCGGAATTAAGGGGTCGTTTGGAGTGCCATTTTTTGGGGTTTCTTTGGGATTTTTTTTGTGAGAAATGAGAAGAGCTTTTGATACAGATTTTTTTTTACATGTTTGACTATGCTTTGAGAGTGTACTCAATTTTTTTCAAGTGGAAGTAATCGAAATTGACTGAATTACAATTTATTTAGTCTCTTAGATGAAAGGGGTCTACTGGCTGACACGATTTTGGCCATTCTGCTCAGCTGAAAGGAAATAATCGAAAAGATTCGTAATTAATATTTATGAAAATTTGTCACCTGAGTGTTACTTAAGTGTCACGCGCAAATTTTAATAAAATTCGCCTATAATGTAGTACTGAAAGAAATATTTCTTTTAACCAAATATCGTCCATACCTAAAGGGTTAAAATGTCCTTTGAATCGAAGATAAGAAAACATACACGGTGCGTCAATAAAATTCGGCAAATGGTCCAAAACACGAAACCAACATTATCAATTCCCAAACTCACTTTTCTGCCCTTCAGAGTTTGTCACTATCCCTCCCATTTAAATTCACTAATAGCAGATAAATAGTGACTATTCGCTGTTTCAAACATCTCCTCTCAAACACTATTTATAGCAGAGAAAGTAGGATTTGACGACTCATAATTAATTCACTGTTTAATCCTCTTTACCTCGAACTGAAATAATAAAGAGTGTCCCACTGAGAAACCGAGAAACTTTCACAGCACACTTGACAAGTGTTTCCTTGACGCAAACAGATCGTACACAAACGTGGATCTATTTTCATTCGTTGAAAGAAAAACCAACAAAACTACGACATTACAAACACGTACTTAGAAAGAACGCTTTGTCTTCCTTTCATTTTTTTTTTCTCTCGAATTTTTATTTGTGAACGTAAGCAGTATTTAGTCTGAATGTTAAGTGGCGGCGTATTCGAACTCTCAGCGCGAAGACGAAGTACCTCATTGTCAGTCGGTATCTGTGCTTGAACAAATCTTTTTTAATTACTTATGCGCGATCCTTTGTATCCTGCCCACAGTGGAATACACCGATATTGCACCGACATGCGGAACTTACAATGAGAACAATAGAGAAACAAAATCGGTGAGAGTTTCTCTCATTGTTCTGTGTTTCTTAATCTATTCATATCCACTCTGGATTTCAGATTTAATAAAAAATTATACAAATTCGTACGTTTTACCAGATTACACAAGCACTTTTAAGTAGAACTTGTAACATGAAACACGTCTTTGTTACGATTATTCGTAATAATTAATATTTATATGAAATCGAAGGGACAGTAATTTCAATGGAATTAAAGGCAATATCCGATCGTTATTTATACACGAAATTGTTGAATGTTAAATACCTCTTATTTCAAAAGTTGACGTATAGAAATAATTAACACACATGTTAATCAAGTACGCACAACGGACCGACTTGAACATTGGCAAATATCATAACGATATTAAATTTAACAAAGTTTCGTTGTATTCGCCACCGGTTTTGGCAATAATACCTTAATAATACTCGCGTTGCTGAACCATATTTGACACTAGGTTTACGGACATTGCTTATATCAAATTGACGCGTGAACGAAATCGCAGATTTTCTTTAAAAAACAACTTATTTTATTTAAAGACAACATATTATACACTACTACCTTCTGAATGAATCTATGCGATGCTGTATATTTTTACAAAATTTACAATAATCGTAAGTGGTAGGAGAGAAGTGTAAACGGTTTCTGTAATTTTTCTTGTAAAATTCAAACTGTGAACCAAGACTAAAGCCACGTAAAAAGTTGACTGACAAATGCTAAAAAATTGTCTCGCCATTCCAAAGACCATAATCGAAGAAACACAGCAGTTGCTAATACTAA